GATCATGACCTGAGCCGAAGGCAGATGCTTAACGACTGAGCCACCCAGGCGCCCCTTGACCCCTGAATTTAAAGTAGCTCCTCTGTGGTCTCAACTTTATAATTGCACCCAGTTTATTTTTTTCCTAGAGCCCTAATGCATTCTCGAGTTACCCTGTTTGTTGAGGGGGCTGCCCGTTGTCGAGTTCGTTGTGAGAATGTAAACTCCATAGGAACATGGCAGACCTGTCACTTGTCCCCACCCTAACCCAAGTTTAGCACATAGTAGTCACTCAAACTGTGTGGAGTAATAAAGGGGGTTTAGAGCCAGACTTCCTACTTCCTAGCTGTGTGTTCTTGGACCAGCCCCTTGACCTCTCTGAGCCACTCTTTTCTCACTTATAAAATGGTCATAATGCCTCTCACACAGGCCACTGTAAGGATTAACTGAGAGTATGCATTTAAACTACTCCCTACAGGGCCCTCCGGAAGCTGTAGAATCTTCCCAGTCAGTTCTCAAAATGATGCTAGGGTTGGGGAGATGCACTCTATACCCATTTTACAGATGAAAAAACAGGTCTACAGAAGAAGGGGATATAAAATCACCTGACTTAGCAAGAAGTACAATTTGAACCTGGTTCTCCCAAATCCAAGGCCAGGACTCTTTTCGCCCTGTCCTCTGGGCCAGGTCCGAGCTTTGCTGCAGTCTACCCTAGACAGGGGAGGAAGTAGGGAGGATGCTTGGTTAGTCTCCGGGCTCCCTGTGTTTTCCTCATTACTGGGCCTCTCCTAGGGGGCACAGTCTCTTCATGCCCCCTACATGGTCACTCCTCTTATGACTGAGACATCCTCCGTGGGCAGCCTCTCTTTTGCTCTCAGAGGCCCAAGCACCGGCTTCCTTCCACCACCACCCCAGCCCTCCCAGGGAGTCATCAGTTCAGTTCACTCCATGAACATTTATGGAGCACCTATGATACACCAAGCTGATCACTGCGTCATCTGGGCTGGCCAGGAAGCAGACACTGAGATGGGGGTAGGAGTGCAAGATGTTTATTGCCTGGAGGAGTGGGGGTGTGGTAGGGCCTATGAAAGATGAAGGGCGGGGGAGCAGGAGAGAGCCTGGGCTGGGAGAGCCTCAGACTGTTTTGCATATCCAACAAAGTGGTGGACCTCTGGGGCAAAGAATGTTCCTCAGAGGCTGTCTGCTAACTGCACTCCTTGCAGGTGAACAGTGAGTTCTTTCTTGAAGAAAGAAACCTGGAGCTCTGTGACATATGGAGGAAAATAAAAAACATCTCTCTGGGTGCTCAGAGTCCACTCTAGAGCTAAAGACAAATGCTCATGAAACTCATTCCAAGAGCCCAGCTTCTGGAAGACCTTTTAAGTTCGGGAGCTTGCACAGCTTGTGGGTAGCCTGGCGAGGAGGAGGATAGAGGCCTGGGGGCGATTCAGGGAGGGTTCCGCAGAGGCTAAAGGACGACGGAAGAAGGGGGTGGGAGAGGTGCTTGGTTAGGCGGGTACACAACTTGGCTGGGGCTCTGCTGCTGTCGCCTGAGTGGCCTTGGACAGGTCCCGTCCCCTCTCTGTGCTTCAGTTTCACCATCTGCTTCATGAAGGTGTCAGACCAGATCAGAGCTGCTTAACCTTTGGAAAATCTAAGCAAAACTAGAAGTTTCTCCCCTAATGTGTGCATTTGGATTTTTAAAAAATTATTATGGTAAAATACATGTAACCTTGACTATTTTAATAAAAGCAATTCAGAGGCATTTAGTGCACCCACAAGGTTGTGCAACCATCACCAATATCTGGTTCTAGAACTTTTTCAGCATCCCAAAAAGAAACCTTGTACCCACCAAGCAATTACTCCCCATTCCCCTCTCTCCTGAGCCCCAGGCAACCTCTGATCTCCTTCCTGACTTTATTGTTTTGCCTATTCACACACTATTGGGCCTCTTGTGTTGGCCTGCTTTCACTCAGCATAATGTTTTCTGGGCTCATCCATGTCGTAGCACGCGTCAGTGCTCCAGTCCTTTCTACCGCCGAATAATATTCCCCAGTGTGCTCTACCACATTCTGTTTATCCACCATCTGTGCATTTGATTTTGCGCATGATTTTGCATTCAATTCCAGGGACTCCCTGGACTTCACTCATGTGTCTCTGGGGTGGGCTGAGGTCAGTTCGCCTTAGACACAGAGCTGAGTCATCTCAAAGTGGATTTCCAACTCTAATGTATGTGCTCAGGGGATAGTGATTAATCACAACCTGGGAACAGCAGCATGCGTATCAGGGGAGCCTTCCTGGAGGAGGTTTCATTTGAGGTGGGCTGCTGAAGGTAAGAAGGCAACAGGCAGGTCAGGCGGCAGGCTCTCCTTGCGGGGACACGGCAGGAGCTGAGGACCCAATAGGAGAAAGCTCTGGGGGTGGAGGGCGGGGCAGGGACCAGCATCATTTAGTTGGAGCATCCCCCCCGCCCCCCCGCCCCCAGCCCCCAGCAACCTTCTGGAGCCCAGGGAGGAGGCGGTGGCTGGGTTGACAGAGGGCACAAGTTCAATTACTGCCTTATGTCTCAGTTTATTTCCACCCAGCCAGGTGCCGGGCATGTCATCAGCCACTCTTTGCAGAGGCTAAACAGCCTCCCGAAATAGAAACGGTTTCCTCCACAGGCTGCACCGTCCCCTCCCAGGGACAGCCACCCTCCCAAGGCCCAAGGGGGCGGGGGGCAGCCTGTTCTCCAGCCCCTCACATCTTACTACCCACCCTCACCTCCGGCTCTCTCCCCCCAGGTCAGGCCACTGCCTCAGCCTCTCCTCCACAGACACACCTGGCTCACTCCCCTCTCGGCCAGCCGCCGCCCTCTGAAACAACAAATCACACTACTAGCCTCACCAAACGTGGCTCAGCTAGCGCTCAGCTGCCATCTTAGCTCCTTCGGGGCCCTGAAGTCAGGTCACAGCCTGACTCTGTCCCCAGGAGGGACTGACTGCAGCCTCAGGGATGATGCACAGACTCCGGACACCACCCCCAGGCTCAAAGTGCCCTTAGTCTCCCTGGAGAAGGACACAAGGGGAGACTTTTAGGAGGCTGCACAGAGTAGGGGTGAGGAGCAAGGAGCTCTGGGGTAAACCTCGGATTTGCATCTCAAAGTGGCCCTTCCTAAACCATCTCTCTCCTCTTTGGAGTGGGGACAGCCCTGGCCCCCGAGTTGCTGTCTCCCTCTGTCCTCTCATCCTGTTTCGCTATCCTCAGAATCCTTACCCCATCCTTCTGTACAGTCTGTTGGTCTGCCCCCACCGAGGCGGGAGGGCCAGGGGAGCCGGCACTTTGCCAGTCAGACTCGCAGCTGTATCCCCGTTCCTGGATGGTGTCTGGCACATGTAAGCCCTCGACAGTGGGTGGGGCTGGAGGGAAGCCTGGAGAAGCATCAGTAGGTTCCCGGTAGCTGCCTTCCAACATCTGTGGGGCAGCGAGAGAGCCTGGCCCCCTGTCCAGCAGCACTCAAAGGCAAAGCCATAAACCACAGTGACATTCCCGGGAAGTTTGCTGTAAGACTTTTCTAAGAACCAGAGCTTGCCTCTGGTGTGGAAATCGCTGGGACCATCTGCCTGGACTGCTGTCAAGGACATGCCCGAGGTGAACGGACATCGAGGTCTGGGGCTCCGTGCTGAGGTTGGAGGTTCTCTGCCTGCTCCTTCCCTCTCTCGCTCCCTCCCTCCTTGTCCTGGTCTGGAGAAGGCCACCTGCTGAGGGGAGAATCAGGGCTGAGGGAGCTGGCTCACCTTGAGGGCTTCCTCTACTAGATTGTGGGTTACCTGAGGAGTTGCCCCGGACCACCAGTGAGAACACTGTTCTAGTGGCGCATGGCCTGGACCTGGGAGAGAAGATGCTGATGAAAGGTTCTGGGCCCGAGTCTCTCTCTGGCTATGTGACTCAGGCACTGGGCCTCCCCTCCTCGGCTTCCCTTTCAGAATGGGCTCCATGCTGCCCTCCTTCATCCACTTCCCAGGATCAGTGCAGGGAGAAGAACAAAAGTACGCTGTCTGTAAGTCCTCTGAAAACTGCAGAGGAAAGGGACTGTAGTCAAGGCCCAGAGCACGCCAATCCACTCATTTCTCTCTTAGACTGTGCAGTAGGCAGAACGATGGCTCCCCAAAGATTTCCACATCCTCATCACCAGAAGCTGTGAATTTGTCACCTTAACACAGCAAAAAAGGACTTCGCAGATGTGATTTGCAGAAGGGGAGAGAAGGGGAGATTCCCCTGGATTATCCCATGGGCCCAGTGTAATCACCAGGTCCTTATAAGAGAGAGGCCGGGGGGTGAGAGTCAGAGAAGATGATGGCAGGAGGCAGGGTCGGAACGATGTGGCCACGAGCCAAGAGACGCCA